GGCATGTTGCTAGGAGAGGCTATTATTCATTGGACAGGGACATCATGCTTAGGAAGGTGGAGAGATGGCAGAGGCCTCAACCAGATGGCTTGGTGCCGTGACTACAGCAGTGGACTAACGTGTGTCAGCGATCATGAGAACGACACAGGCTAGGACAGGAGGCAGATGTGTTTTTTTGTAGGTCGCTGTGAGTCGTACTTGATGACTCCTAACAATAACAACATCCTGTCCCATTGTTTTCTGTGTTCCTGGTTAGAGAGAGGAAAATCCTCGACAAGCTGGATTGACACAGTGCCTGTAGCAATGGACTCAAGGATATTAGAGATCTTGAGAACGTCTGTCTCAGCATAGGGCAAGGGTCAGATCTACTGTCCATAGGGTCACTGTGAGTTGTAGTCAACTCAGTGGTTCCTAACAAGCAGTAATTCCAGAGAAGTGCGTATCACTTTGTGGAGGGGTCTAAGAACGAGGAGATAAGCTTGGCAAAAGCTGCCAGAGCTGTAGGTGGTATGAACAGATGCTGTGGGGGCATTCCATGGAAATGTGATCTGGGAGACCACCAAAAGGCCTACGGGAAGGCTTCCCTGACAGTGAACTCGGGACTTCTCGGTGACTCCCAGGCCATAGACATAGAGGCTCCCCTGATGTCCTCACTAACCTTGGTGTACAGGGCAGGGGAGCTTGGCATTCACCCCCACTTAGGAAGGAACCCTAGCTCTGACGCCTCCGCTCCTCGTCCCCTCTCCAGGAGGCCCAGCCTTGTGTAGATGACCTGCACACTCAGCTGTGAACAACATGTTGGCTACTATCCGAGTCTATCCAGAGGCAGGACTATCCAGAGCTGCCCTTCAGGGTTTGCAGGACTGTGGATCAGAGGGTTCCTGAGGGCGGGGATGATGAGACTTGGTCTCGCGTGTGTTTGCCGTGTTATCAGGAGGGGCAAGTCCTTGGAAAAAGACACCATGGTGGGAAAGGTAGAGAGGTCAGACCAAGAGGAGAGCCTCAACACGGTGGATTGACCTGTGACAGCACTGGACTTGAGGATGATGGACGCGGGGCAGCGATGGCACAAGACAGGACAGGGTTCAGACCTGTTTCCAGAGTCACCAGGAGCGGCAGTTGACTCAACACCTAATCTTTATTCCATTTCAACTCCAGTTTCAACAAGAAGTCTTTACAAAATCAAATTGCCCCAGCTTTCTACTGCAGAGAGACTGCTGGATTCAAAGCCTTGGCTCCTCTGTTAGAAGCCGAATGCCTCAATCACAGCACCGCCAGAGCTCGATGTGTGTAGGTTTCAGAAGCTGTAGTCTCAGCCATCCTAACGGTGCCATCACCCCAGCTGGACCAGGGAGAGTTCATTAGCATAGGAACAAGGATAATTAAAAGTTTTCACAAAAATAGTTTCAGAATATTTATTCCATGGAGAGACTGGAAGGAAGGGTGGTGGCTGAGGGTGGAGAGATAGGGGAAGAATGAGGGAAAGAACAGGGTAATTGCCCCCTGGGGAGCCCTGCATTCTTGGAAGCTATCAGCCAAGACTGAGTGAGTCATCCAGCACCCGGAAGAGGCTGGACTCCTGCTCCAGGACTTTCGGAGATAACATGTGCCTCTCCCACCATCTGAACCCCATAGGTGAGGGGAACACTTGATGCTGAGAGCCCCCACAGGGGAGGGCGGGAGGAAGAGGCCGGATCCCAGATCCTGGGGAACAGGTGAGACTGTCCTGGGATACCCCCGCCCCCGGCACTCCTCTTACCAGGTGCAGCTGAGGGAGCTTGGGGTCCTCCCTCAATGACCCTTCCCTCAGCAGGCCTCACCCGGGGAGTGTTCCATCAGCAGAGCCCCAGTGTTCAGTGTATTCAGACATTGGTGCCAGAACTAGGAAGGAGGCAACAAGGAGAAGGTTCTGCTCGGCGTCTGTTTGCATTATTTGGGGAACCAGAAGAAACCGAGATCAACTTAGCAAGAAACAAGAACCATGGGAAGACCTACCTGCTACTGTCAAGTCCATTCCAGCTGACGGTGACCCCACAGGACACAACAGAACTGCCCGCAAGCTCCCAAGGCCATGAATCTTTGTGGAAACAGTCAGGTTTGTCTCTCTCAGAGCAGCTGGTGGGTTCAAACCCTTGACCTTTCAGTCACAGTCTAGTGCTTAGTCACTGCACCAGCAGGGCTCTTTATAGACAGATTCGGTCTTTTTCTAGAAAAGGGGTTGGTGACAAGTCACAGCCATTTATGAAGCCAAATTTCCGTAGGAGGAGCTTGTCGGCCCTGCTCCGGTGGACACATGGGGTGTCTTCAGGGCTCCCCACTCTTGAGTTACCTGGCATGGTCTTTAGAAGGAGGCTCCTGTTTCAGAAGCCACAAGTTGTCATCTTGACGCCGAAGGTTCTCCAATCTCTGCTGCCCTGCCCTTTCTCCTGAGCCCCTGGTTTTCAGTTCACCCTGCTCCCACTCACTGCCATCCCCAGAGTGTTACCGTGTGATGTGAATGCTTTGATCCCGAAACCCACTAGTGCATTCTGCCCCTGACCCCCTGCAGCCCCACTGGCCATCTGTAGCCCCACTGACCACCTAGGCCCCACTGACTGCAGTTAGAGAGTTCAAGGTCTGAAGAATTTCTTTTTCTTCGTAACATTTTAAACTGCAGTTTCTGTATAGTCACGGTGACGGGGGCTAGAACAACCTCTCCAGAGCCAGAAGAACCTTGATGTTGATCTAATCGAACTTGCTCATTCTGCAGAAGAGACTGTGATTCAGAAACACAGCTAACTAGCCAGAGATGCCTGGACAGTTTGTTGAGACAGGCAGATTCAAAGTAGGTCTCTGTGCTCAGTGTGAATCAGCTTAAACCACAGCGACTTTTCCAAGAAGCACATGCGTGGGCTGTTCCTGGGCTGTTGGTGCGACTCTCTGACTGTTTACACAGCTCGGCTCTGGTTCTCCGGTTACTGGGCTCGAGGCTCCGGCTTTCCCTGTGGCCCTCCGATGAGGTCATGGTGACTCATTCTCTCTCCCTTTCTACCAGACTGAGATCCTGCAGAGGAGGACGGGCCGTGTTGAGTCCTGCCACCACGGGACTTGACTTCCTCAGTGCTCAGAAGTGTTCATGAGAAGAGCAAACTGGAATGAAATTCTCTGTTCCGTAACCCTGAAAAAGACTGTCTTCATAACAACAGCTTCTCATCTACACAGGATGTCACTACTCTGTGGGCTGAGATAGGAACACCCGCTGGACAGGATAGGAGTGTCCATGCTGCTGGGGCAGGTCCCGTGACCACATATCCAGGCGACAGGGTTTGTGCAGAGGGGACTCTGGCCCACATTCTGTCCCCTCTGCAGCCTTCATGGTGCATGGCCCTCCTGGTTCTCGTCGCTAATCACTGGGCCCTGGTGACCTTGTTCACATGGACCTGGGGTAAGACAGCCACTAGACCAGCCAGTCAGTCGCCCTCAGCCCCAGGCTGTGACGCGTGAGCAGAGCAGAGGTGGCCGCACTGGGCGCTCAGGCCGAGAAGTGGATCGCTGGGTCATTCTTGGAAGGTGCCTGCGGGTGGACTGGAACGGCCAGCCTTTCCGTCAGCAGCTGCAGGTACACACTGGTTCTCAGTGACCTCCCCTCGCACATCACCGACTCCCCCAGCCTGGAATCGATGCATCGAGGTTTTCAGCAGATGACTTCACCAGTTAACCTGTCAGTTACCTTCGCAGCTGGGAGGACTGTCAGGACTCGCATTTCAGGGCCAAAAAACCGATGGTGTGTCCCTTCTTCCAGACTATCGGGAAGTCGCTGACCCAGGACGCTGGCGGCGGAGAGCTCAGGGCCCCCCTCTGGCTGCTCAGCGGGGTCCAGTCTCTGGGTTCAGTCCCTGCAGGCCCCACACCCTCCTCACCCTCCTCGCCCACCTCTTCCTCCTCACCCTCCTCGCCCACCTCGCAGGACATCACTCGCCAAGCCGCACCTGAGCAGGGGCCCCCTGCCCACCTGTTCACTAAGGCAGAAACAGAGCGGCGTGGGATTTAATTACAGAACTACAGACTTAATTAGTGGGGCACTGACCTCTTTCCTTCTACACTCGGCACGATCGCATGCAATTAATTTTTGTCATCATTAATTGAATCACTGTCCCTGGTTAGATTGTGAGGACCCAGCAGCGCACACGCCGGCCTCTCGTTTGGTGCTGTCTCCACATTTGCTGGGAGATGCTTGTTCACGAATTTCACTTTCTCTTGACGGGCAAAATGAGAATGATGGGAGGATTCCTCTCCAGGCGGTGAGCTCGGCCAGGCCCTCCCTAACACCTGAGGAGAAGCTGGGGCAGCCTGCAGGGAGGGTGTCGGGAGACCACCTGCTGCTTCCCGCCTCTCCTCACCCCCCCTTTCCCTCCTCTTCCTTCTCTTCCTCTTGCTTTCTTTCCTCTCATTTTCTTTCTACACTGACATGGTCCCCTCTGCACTAGGAACTGCTGTTGTCAGCATCACCGAGTCACCTCTTGCTGGTGACCCCAGGCCTGTTGGAATGACGCCCTGCCCAGCTTGGCGTGGTCGCACACTCTGGTCTCCTGATTATTCAGATGTTGAGCGCCAAGCCGTTCTTCTGCCTCGTTCCTCTCACTTGGGAAGCTCAGCCCAGCCCCTCGTCAGTGTCACAGCAGCACAGAAGCCTCGGCCACCAGATGGAAGCGTGGCTGCAAATGGAACCTGGGAGAAAGACCTGCCACTGAGCTGCCTTCGCCTCGTTGGGAGGAAACCGACGCTAAAGCAGAGGGAAGATTTCCTCGCTGAGTGAGAAGAACAAGTGTGTGCCCCCGGAGACTTGTCCCCCAGCCTGAACCTCCCCACGTCACAGAGGAAGGGGTTGGTGGTCAGGGACTCCAGTCCTGCCCCAGCCTGTTGAGGGATCAAGGGCCAAGGGCCACACACAGATCCAGAGACAGCGACCTTCGTTTACTCCCTCATCTCCTCTGCGCCCCGCAGTCCGGCCTTTGCACTCCATGAGCAAGGACAACCTGACCTGGGTGAGTGACTTCATCCTCACGGGCCTGTCCAGGGACCCGGCGGTCCAGGCTGGCCTCTTTGTCCTCTTCGGGGCCGCCTACCTGGTGACCCTGCTGGGGAACGGGCTCATGGTCCTGCTGACTGGGCTGGACGCCCGGCTGCACCTGCCCATGTACTTCTTCCTGGGCCACCTGTCGGTGGTGGACATCTGCTATACGTCCAGTGGAGTGCCCCAGATGCTGGTGCACTTCCTCCAGGAGCACAAGACCATCTCCTTCGCGCGCTGCGGGGCCCAGCTCTTCTTCTCGCTGGCCCTGGGCGGCACCGAGTTCCTGCTGCTGGCCGCCATGGCCTACGACCGCTACGTGGCCGTGTGCCAGCCCCTGCACTACGTGGCTGTGATGCGCCCACCACTGTGTGTGGCGCTGGCGGCCGCCTGCTGGCTGGTGGGCCTGGCCAACTCCGCGGTGGAGACAGCCGTCACCATGCGCCTGCCCACCTGTGGGCGCCGTGTGCTCAACCACGTGGCCTGCGAGACGCTGGCGCTGGTGCGCCTGGCCTGTGTGGACGTCACCTTCAACCAGGCGGTCATCGTGGCGTCCAGCATCGTCGTGCTGCTCGTGCCCTGCTGCCTCGTGTCCCTGTCCTACGGCCACATCGCTGCCGCCATCCTGCGCATCCGCTCCAGTCAGGGCCGCCGCAAGGCCTTCAGGACCTGCGCCTCCCACCTGACCGTGGTGTCCATGTCCTACGGGATGGCCCTGTGCACCTACCTGCAGCCCCGCTCGACCGCCTCTGCGGAGCAGGACAAGCTGGTGGTCCTCTTCTACGCCGTGCTCACGCCCATGCTGAACCCCCTCATCTACAGCCTGCGTAACAAGGACATGCAGGCCGCGCTGGGCCGGCTGCGCAGGGGGCCCCCAGGGGAGAGGACAGGGTGACCGTGTGGTGCACGGCCGGACCACCTCGCGGCACAGTGAGCGTGTGAACATGACTGTGTGTGAATACATGAGGGTGCGCGTGTGAGCACTGGTACGTGTCAGTGTGGGTGCACACGTGTGCATGAGAACGTGTGTGTGGTCATGTGCCTGGATGTGTGTGTGAATCTAAGCAAGAGTGTGGCAGTGTGGAGTCGAAGCTGCATGTGTGCATATGAGTGTATGTGTGTGCGTACATGGGAGTGCAAGGAGGAGGGAGTGTGTACATGGATGTGTGTGTGCTGTGTGCACCTGGGTGTGAGTGTATGTGTGTGTGCATGTGAGCAAGTGTGCATTTGTGAGAGGGCACATGGAGGTGAGTGTGGACGTGTGACTGTAAGTTGAGGGGGTACACGTGTATGTGAAAGGTTGTTGTATGTGAGGTGTGTGCACAGGAGAGGCAGGAGGACCGCCATTCACACTCCTGTGTTGTTGTTGTTGTTGTTTGGCCCCAGCGAGTCAGTTCTGCGTCAGCGACACCTTGTACCCCAGCATGGACCGCATCCTCCCGATTGCGGCTGGACCTGAGCCTTCTCTGTAGATAATGAGGAAAGAGTTTTCTTCTGGACTCTAATTTTGATCTTTGACTTAATCCAAAATATGAAATGACAACCGTCTGTAAAGATACACACCCAGCAGAAGCTGAACAGTAAACCAGGCGGGGGAAAGGAAAGATGAGTGAACTCAGGCCGAGGGTGCACAGTTACCCCATGAAAGTCGTTCGTGGTAAACTCTGTGCTGAGCTGCATGTGGAAGATTCCCTACAGCCAATCAAAAGGGAGAAAGGAAAGGGGAAGCTGTCCAATGGCCTAATCCACTGTGCCTCTGGGATGGAGCGGGCCTGAGGCCAGAGGGCAGCGGTCATCATGTGACTCACACACGGCCCGCCCAGGGCACTGGGGCAGGAAGTCACACAGTCCTTGTCACAGAGGAGCAGCTGTCCATGAGAGGCACTGTGACACCACTGGGTGCACACCTCTTCAGTCTCCTGTGACCAGGGGTCAGAGGTGCAGCTGGCAAAGGGCCTGAGGGCCCTGAGGGCCGACTGGACAATGTGGTCAGAGCCCACACCTGACCAAACACAGGCCAGGCCACACACGGCGAGGGAGAAGCTGGGAAGGAGCCCACGAGCTCCAGAAACACTCGTCTGTGCTTCCAGTCCACTGATAAGGCTTGAGGAAAGCTGGTGCTTCAACCTCAGGCCGCACAGGGGCCCTGTCACCCCAAATGATAGCGAGAAGGACTTGTAAAGCCACTCCATAGCCTCTCAGATCCAAACACAACTCGTCTCTGCTTCATCTTGCTCACAAAACAGAAAAACTTAACTTGGGAAAGATTTGAACTTGGGTTTTTTTCACCTGCTGAGAAAATGCCAGCGAGCTGGGGAGAAGGGAGTGAATGGGCTTTAAACTTTGCAGTAGAGCTTTTTCAGTTAGCATTTCAGACCTTTGTCTAAACTCTTCATTCTTCTCCACGATTCCCAGTCATCCATTCCTTTCTCCAGTCCCTTGCAAAGCCCTTCCCCAAGCAAAGCCGCAGCACTGGGTTTGGGCCCCGGTGCTGCGTGTGGATCAGCAGAACAAGCTCTTTCTCCTCCCAGGCTGGTGAGAGAGAGAGAGCGTAAGCATTTCGAACTAGATGCGGTTGTGTTTATCCATCTCACACAGCTCTGGAACGTGCAACTTTGAGTCATGTTCTCTGAACCTTTTCACATAGCCTGGTGGCTAACAGGTCACCCAAGTAACTTTGCAGGCAAACTGGTGTATGTTTCTGAAAAAATGTTGTATAATGTCAAATATCATAGTTGTTGTTTTGTGTGCCTTCGAGTCAGAACCAAATCATTCCTGACCCTCAAATGGGTTTTCAAAGGCAGTAAATTTCTCGGCAAAAGACTGCCCACCTTCTCCTGTAGAGCACCTAGGGCATTCAAACCATGGGCCTTCGGGATTGCAACATAGCTTCTTTTCTTAAAAAAAAAATTATTATTCTCTTTTGTGTATGTGTACCGTCAAATCAGATCTGATTGCCCCTCCTTCTCCAGCTGAGCATCTGGTAGATTTGAACCACATACCTCTAGGATTGCAGTTCAGCTTCTTGCCACTAGGCCACCAGAGCTCCTTGTTAAAACATTAAACATAATTAAAATATACGTTTTGTTTGTAAAATAACACACATCCATTCTCCATGGCAGTTGTGCACACAGGTAACTTGTCCAAAAAAGACATCAATTCATTAAAATGCAGTTTGATAAAAATAGGGGGTAAAAATATCATTCCAATTACTCCCACTGGGGAAAAAAAAAGTCTCGTGCTTCGAAAGCCCATTCTGAGCAGAATGATTCTTGAGGTGATGTTTCAGAGATGATTAAATGAAAGAAATGATAGGAAAGTTCCATATGAACACTTAAAATATAATTCACAGCTGAATATTGACCACAGGCTTCCATTAATTTTGCCATAAAATGATGAGCCAAATAAGAGAGTTAATTCATGGGATAATTGTGCCTAAAGTTCACCCGATTTTTCAGACAAAACCCCAAACTGAGACACCATGACTTCCAATGTATTAAACAAGAAGTTAGAGCACATTTGCCTTAATGTGATTGAAGTGAAGACTTTGAACAGGTCACTCCCCTCGCTGCCTGAGGCCTTGATGACACTGCCTGCCTTGGGAATGTCTTCCACGTGCTCCCAATGTTCATCCTCTTATCCTAACCCTTCCGCCTTCCGAGCTTTATCCCTGGAAATACGCTGCTTTTTTGGTCTTTTGGTTGACTCTAGAAGTATGTTTCTCCCTGGAGTTAGCGATCGTCTTACAGGCATGTCTGCTGGTAGGCCAGAAGTAGAGCACAGGATGGTTCCTGTCCAGGTGTGAGGGTGACTAAGGGCCATACTCTTGGGGTTCCACGAGTTTACCAGATGTAAGCTTTGCCTTTTTTAGAATTTGAGGGTTTTCCCTACCTTTTCCTCCCACTCTATCAGAGCTTTGCATTGTGATCTCTGGAGAGGTCTGCACAGGCAACCGGGCACCACCATCTAGTGCTTCGTGGATCTCGGCAGCCCAGGATCACACGGTTCCACTGTACAATCTTTGATTTGCTCCACTTCACTTTGCGCTGATTGGAGAGAGACTAGTAGTCACAGCTTGGATGACCACTTGCAAATAATGCCTATTTTCTGTAGAATGTTTATCATGTAGGGGACCAAATCCCTGTAGTTTCAAAGTATTACTCTGATTGCTCCTCAGGATCCAGCCCAGAGGGAACCCCAAATATAATGTTAATGAAGAAGGTAGTGAGGCTGGAGCCCTCATTCCGTGAGCTCATAGTCTTGGGTACAGAGCACTCACGTATGGGGTCTTCACCACAAACTTTAAACAGCTATGTAACTACCTATAAACTGTTATTTATCAAACAATAAATCAAGGGGCTCTGGTGGCCTAGTGGCAAGAATCTGTGCTGCAATCCCGAAGGCACAGGGTTCGAGGCCACCAGCTGCTGCGTGGAAGGATAGTCAGTCTCCTCCCGTGCGATTAACTGCCTCTGAAAACCTGTCAGACGGTCAGCTACAGGTTGGTTCTGACTCGATGGCACACAATAACAGCAACATTAAACAATAATACAACAGTGAAGCAAAAAGGATAAAAATTTGATAGGGGGAAAAAAGCTTACTTGACTAACTTAAAATCCACAAATTCTTGGCTCTCGATGTGCGTTCCAACCTTTCTAGAGTGCACCTTCATTCATCTCGGCACAGTTCACAAGGCAGGAAGGCGGAAGCAACCTAAATGCATAACAGCAGAGGACTGGGTAGACCAGCATCTGGCTGTCCGCACAGCACGACGGGCTCAACCAAGCACTGGCACCTGCTGGGGTGTGGGTCACCTTGAAATCATTATTCTCTCATCATGGGGGTGGGGGAAATATGGCCCTAGCTGCAAAATCTAGACTAAGCAAGTGCACAGAGATCACGATTAGTCAGTGGTCACCACAGGTGAGCGAGGAAGGGGACGGGAAGGTGTACCCGGAGAAGGCGTGCTCCTCCTAAGGGCAAGAGGAAGAGTTGCAGACAGAGAGGAGCAGCTTGTAAACATGATGAACTTAACTGACGCCATTGACTTGCACATGCAAAAAAGGTTGAGAGGGTAAATGTTTGCCGTTTCCCCTCATTTTGTTAAATGTTTAGCAAGGTATTTTATCACAGTTTCTAAGAAAAGCTTCCTGAAAGCACAATCATGCCAAGGTATTTAATAAGTTGTTCTAATACTTTCTCCCTTAGTGAATTTCCGGAAACCGTATCATGAAATGAAATATTATAAGGCTAATAATATTTTTCAAAGACATTTAATGTTTCACTGGAACTTGTTTATCCAAGACTTAACCTAAACCATGAGGAATACTTTGCATGAAAGTATATGTCTAATTTTAAAATAGAAAAAATGTAAACCACTATGTCATAAACTTGGCAAAGTCCATGTAATGTGGTGTGGTAAGGGATCCAACTTAAAATGCTCATAAAATTTTTATAATATTTCATTACAAATTTAGCAGAAATATGATATTATTACAATAAAAATTCTTTTTACGAAATCTGTAGAGCTGTGTATGCAAAAAGTAAACTTAGAAACCTTTTCTTTGAGTCTTCAGGTTTAGGAAGAGAGATCTGACTTTGTAAAAGTTAGTCACAGTCAAAGGACATGTCCCAGCATCTGTTCAAAAATGACTAGACAGACGAGGAAACAAAAATATGATTCATCAGTGGAACAAGTCAGCGAACACTCGGACACAGAGCACACATTAGCAGAGAAGTGCTTTCTGATAGCTACTGTGGACATGCTGCAGGTGATCCAGGAGATGAAACGAAAACACAAACATGAGAGAAAAGGAGAACTTTTAAAAGAACCAAACAGACCTTCTAGACATTGAAAAAGGAAAAATTAACTAGATGGGATCATTATTTCAGGCA